GGCCAGTGGGTAAAATTAAAGGAAACATATTTAGATCAACATCTGGAGTATGCCATTCTAGAAAATAAAAAATGGTTTTCTATCAGTGGAGATGAGTACCACAGGCTAGGTGAAAACTGGCAGAGATACTATAGGTAAGCTTCTTAAGACAATTTAGGAGGTTTAATTACATAATGTTGAAGGGCACATTAAAATCTAAGATTCTAATATTCACTGATTTTATCTTTGAGCCTTCAATTTGTTATGAAATTGAAGGCATGTGGTCCCGTGCATACAGTAGATGCTTTTAAGTATGTTTAAGTGTAGGGAAGTAAAAAAAAAAAAAATCTTGTTCACTAAGAAAACATATAAATATATATAAGCCATGTAAGTTTGAAAAGGTATTCCACTATTTGTGTTCAAAACAGCAGAGAATGTTTTACTTCCATCAGCACTACTTATATATTAATCCTGAAAAGAGATTTATGAAGATATTTTGTTAAATCCTGGATCTAAAACAAAAACCTTCAAAACTACAGATTTAAAACATTATTAAATGAATACACTGCAAAAGAAAAATGTGCAACTTGAAAAAAATATCTGCAGGTTATAAACATTAAAAAATGGAAAAAGGTAGCAACAATTCAGAAGACCATCTGTTTAGCCATGATATATATATATATATATATATGCCAGCAAAACAAACAGGAATTACAGCTATAATGTAAAAATAAAAGATGGTGATGAAGAAAGCAAAACTGACCGTCATAGGGTTGACTTACCCTATAGGATTTCAAAATATATCCCAATATAAAACATAATAGTCAAAACCATATGAACAGAATAAAAATTCCAGAAGTTGATTAAAAATATTTGCAGGACTTGGGGTGCCTGGGTGTCTGTTAATATATTACAATCTGTTAGTGAGTTAAATGCCCAACTCCTGATTTTGGCTCGGGTCATGATCTCAGGGTTGTGAGACTGAGCTCCAAGGAGGGCTCGTGCTGGGCATGGAGGCTGCTTAAGATTCTCTCTCTCCCTCTCCTTCTGCCCTTCCTCCCCCACTTGCACTCTCAACTCTCTCCCTCTAGAAAAAAAAAATTGCAGAACTTATATAGAAAGAAAAAAATAATAAAACTGATATAACATGAGAGAAAGAATCACTAATAAATGATGTAGTAACAAATGCATAGCAGCATTTATGACATCATACATTTGAATAAATTCTGGATGACTCATTCACTGAATCAACTCATTTATTAATTGTAAGAAGAAAAGAATGAAATGGTTTTTCCATCCCAGCTATGAGCTGGGGATAAAACTGGAGCTACTGAAGAAATGGATTTTATTATAAAAAATAATATTTTGAAATACAATATTATGTCATATAATGTCAAACTTCACTAATAACTAGATAAATTACAAGAAAATACACATAAAAGTTACAATAAATGACAGATTACAATATGATATCTTCCACACAAAGTGGCATGAAATCAGGGTAAATGTTTAAGGCTGGGAAGACTGTGATTAAAAGGGTGCTTGTAGATACTGCTGGTCAGAGTACCTATTGCTAAAAAAAACCATCAAAATGTTCCTACCCATTGGTTGGTTTCTATGTACTATTCCCTAATAGAAGAAACCAGAGTTCTTTGGAAAACGGCTTAACCTAGGGCTTGGGCAGGGGAAATGACAGCTGAAGCTAGTCTACCTCATTGTGCTAGAGGGAAGGGGGGGTGAGTAAAAAAAGGAAGGGAGGGGCACCTGGGTGGCTCAGTGGGCTAAGCATCTGCCTTCGGCTCAGGTCATGATCCTGGGGTTCTGGAATCGAGTCCCACATCAGGCTCCCTGCTCAGCAGGGAGTCTGCTTCTCCCTCTCCCTCTGCCGCTCCCCCTGCTTGTGCTCTTTCTCTCTGACAAATAAATAAAATCTTTAAAAAAAAAAAGGGGGGGGAGTAAGTAAGAAAGAAAGTAAGGGAGTAACTAGCCTATGGGGGGGCAACCTGTTAGAAGGCCCACTGAAACCCACCTGAAAGAGCTCCTAATGGCTAACTCCAGAAGAGTTGGAGCCTCAAATAAATATTATAATAAAATTCTTAGATTATAAACTAAAGAATAGCATATGTATTCATGAGTCCACACTGATCTAAATAGATAACTGTAAAAATGCATGTGTGGGAGAAGGGATAACTCTTCCTTATAAAATAATTCCACTTCCAGCAATCAAACTTAGGGGAAAACATCAGAGATGTAGTAGAAGACTTCAGCATTCAAAGATGTGTTATGTGTTAACTGCAGTGAGATTATAATAGTTACATTTCTAAAATAGTGGTTTCTCTTTTGACAAATTAGTTTACAGTCATTATAATGTCATTTCCAGAAAATGCTTCTCAGGAAATATCCAAAATATAATGATATGCTGGATATCATTATAGTACATCTATATTTACAATGTGTACACCAGTTTGGTTACTGTGTGTGTGTGTGTGTGTGTGTGTAAACATAGGGTACGTTAAATAAAAAAATAAAAATCATACATAATCCTATTTGTTTTTCCTTGCAAATTTTCTAAATTATTATTTTTTTCTAATAAAATTTAAAACTACAGGTAAATTGGGGTACATATAATTAGTCAATGTGTATCTCAAATATCTTTATCTGAAATAGCTTGGGAGATAGTGTAGGTAAATACATGACTTTTGGTTATTTGTTTGCTTTATATCAGCACCAGAAACCACTATTAATTTCTCTATTGCATTGCTTTATGTGACAAAAGTCAGGGTAGAAACTGAAAATGCTTTTTTCCTAACTTTAAGAAGAAGACTATAACAACCATAATAATTGTTTTATTAATATATTATTACATAATAAAAGTAAATTATTATTAAATAATTGAGCTAATCAATCTCACTCCAACTATGCAGCATCCATAATCTATTTGAAGTATACCTGAGCACAGATCCATCTGTAAAACATCTATTTGTATGTGTTATGCATCTTCTTTTAGGTACCAATGTCCTCTCCAAAAAATGTACTCTAGACACAATTGTCTAACATGTAAAATGTTAACAAAAACTTTAACTTTGAAATTATTTGACAATATGATATTAAATTATTATTAGACTAAGGTATATATTTTATTTTGCACATTTAAATCGTTATATCTCCTGAAAATGTTTATAACATAAAAAAGAATGGATGAAATAAATATGGGTCATAAATTGAAAATAAAATCACTTAGAGGGCACTATGCTGTAATTTGACTTTAACCATCCACAAAGCCCATCTAGTTGTGAATTCTGCATTGACAGCAGCTTCTGTCTGGCTTTAGACTATATTCAAACAATGCCTCACGTTCAAATGAAAGTGATTCACCTAATCTTACCAAATATTTACCTACCAAATATTCTTACTTTTTAAAATGTAATTTTGATCCCACAGATCCAACCTTTTGATACAAGATATAGGTAAAATATGTAACTTCAAATATTCTGGAACTCTTGTCAATGAGAAGTTTTGGGGAACATCAAAACAAATGTGGCAAAATTCAGTAACCCTCATTTTAGTTCTGCTAAAAAAGTATTATGCCTTGAAAACCCATCAATGCACAGAACAAGCCACTAAAATGGATTCTGCTTCCTTACCTCACTTTCCAGAGCTCAGCCCAGTGTCTGGCTTACAGATGATAGTCAATAAATGTTCAATTAAAGAAAATTGAAGTATACTACTTCTTTATGACATAAGTTATGACGAGCTTTCACTTTGATTCATGTAAAAGTTATGGGGCTGACATAAAATCTAACTGACATTAGATCCATTAACTAATAAAACTGATATTGTTAAAAAAAGAAGATCCCTATATATAGTTAAACCAAGTAGGTATAAACATAATGACTATTAGTATCAACTTTCCCATGTGAATGTACTGTAGAAGATGAGGACCATCTACAGTAAGAAAACTTGAGAAAGCCATAGTTTACAAACATAATTTAGAAATAGTTCCACTGTTAATCAAGTAACGAAAGATTGATGTTTCACATAATTAAACTCCTGATGAAAATGTGAGTAATGAAAAATCAGGAAAACAAATTGGGAAAACATAAATTTAATTTTATAAGTATCCATATTTCCTTCTGACTCATTTTCTTAAAGTAAAAGGAAATGCAGATTTCAGAAGAAGAGAGTAGGGCAACACTGTTTATTCCCTCCAAACACTTAAGGTACCAAAAGGGCTGGAACAACTTTAACAGCAGTTCTTACCACCATAAAGAAATGCAGATATTTGTCTGGGTTTTTCATCAAAATTAATCAAATTAACAAAAAAAAAATGACGAAAAAGCCATTTATAGGGACACAACCATAGTTAAAAATTTGATTAAGCCATACTTCTGAAAGTATCTATGTATCTGTGTGTCTACCTATATACACACATAGACACCTACATGCATATGTAACCATGTGTGTGTATACATGCATCCATGAAAACCGAGACTTACTAATATGTCTTGGGAATAATGCACAAACATACTCTTCTTATATGGAACCAAACCTTCTTAATGGTTTTGAGATAATTCACAAAAATATTCCCCAGAATAAGGCAAAAAGTATTTTATCATACTGCATTCTTTTCAGGAACCATTATGAGATACTCTGTCCTGATATCCCTAGAAGTTTCTAGGAGTTTTAGGAGCAGATGCTTGTTTTGCTTCCTAATAAAAATTTGGAGGAATGTGTCAAAGTAGATTAAACCATGTCAGAGTCTTTAAAAGAAAACCCTGTTCTTCTTTCAAGAAGGTTTTTGTGTAGCAAAAGAAAAAAAATGAGCATTGCAAGCAGTTCTGAAAACACAACTGAGATGCAATTTGATAAATAGCCTTCTATCATCTAAGCCAGAGCAGTGGAAAAGCACTCTATCAGCACTTTCATCAAAGGCACCATCGACTCCTCTTTTTCTATCTCATTTTATCATGACTTTCTCATTTTGTTTACTCAGTCAGTGATTGGGAAAAATGACTCCTTACCCCTTGGATGAGTTATGATAGGGTCCACTAGAGAAGGGTCCTTTTCTCCATCTTTGCTGCCGCCGCCACTGCCTTCACCACCACCATCTCTTTCAATCAGTTTATCCACCATGGCAATAATGCAGTTCAGGCTCTTCCCCACACTGGCCCACACCCTATCCTGAAAAGAGCATGAGTATCACTACACATTTTTATTGCAAACACGAGATAAGGCAACATCCGACAAATCCATTTTAGAGAAGCAGGTAGAGGAACAATCATAAGAATGCAGACTCAGTGATTAATTCTCATACTCCCATTACTTTGGCCAGACTATGAATGTACAAGAAGAAATCTGTTTTCTCTTAGTAAAGCAAAATTTAAGCGCTATAAATTTTTTATTTAGTTCATTATTTTTTCTAAGTCATAAAACAATGATGAACTACTGTGAAATATTAATCCACAATGGAACACAACCTATGATATTTTACACTGGACATATCTGTTTTCCTTATCAACATTTAGCAAGAAAGCAAAGAGACACCAATGTTTTTAAAGAATAGCTATAATTTGCATTCAAAATTTTTGTTTTTCCTTATTGTGGTAACATACATAACATTGTTTACCATTTAACCATTTTTAAGTGTACGGTTCAAGGGCATTAAGTCCATTCACATTATTATACAACCATCACCACCATCGTTCTCTAGAATTTTTCATCTTCCCAAACTGAAACTTTTACCCTTTCAAAATGAACTCCCCACTCTTCTCTCCCCTGCCACTGGCAACCATCATTGTATTTTCTGTCTCTATGAATTTGACTGCCCTAGGTAACAAAAGTTCTTAAAATGTGGTCTTCACATCACCTCTAACAGAATGACCCAGAGAATTAAAATACAGATTGTTGGCTCCTACTAAGTCAGTCAGAACCACTAGGAAGAAAGCGTCCACTGAAATTTTGACAAGTTCTTCAGGTGCTTCTGACCACCCTAAATCTGAGAACTTCTACTCAATATTATGTGCTATAGCCATTAATGTCATTGTGGCTGATTTATTTCTTAGGAAGCAACCCCTACCACTAGGGGGTCTCTTTGTCACTCAACCTACCAATTCTGATTAGCATCCATTTTTGTTTAGGGCAATTCATGACACTGAATTCTTTGATTCATAAAAGTTGTTATTTCTTAATACAAAATTTAAATATAGTTACCATTATGGTAGCCTCTCATCCCTTGCTTCCCTTTTTGCTCCTCTCTCCACATCATTTAGATGGAGTCACTGACTCCCCAACTGTGATGGCTAATTTTATATGTCGACTTGATTGGATCACAAGACGTCCAGATATTTGGCTAAACATTATTTATGAGTGTGTCTGTAAGAGTGTTTATGGATGAAATTAATATTTGAATTAGTGGACTCATAAAGCAGTTTGTCCTCCTCAATGTGGGTGAACATCATTCAATCCATTAAAGGCCTGATAGAACAAAAATGTGGAGGAAGTCAAGATGTGATCCTTCTTGCCTGATTGACTGAATCAGGACATTGATCTTCTGCCCTCAGCACTCCTGGTTCTTAGGCTTTCAGACTTAGAATGGAATATACATCACTGGCTCCTTTGTTCTAAGGCCCTTAGACTCAGACTGAATTCCACCACCAGCTTTCCTGGGTCTTCAGCCTGCAGATGGCAGACCTTGCAGATGGCAGATCCTGGAACTTCTCGTCCTCCAAAATTGTGTGAGACAATTCCTTATAATAAATAATATAGATCTAGAGGCGCCTGGGTGGCTCAGTCGTTAAGCATCTGCCTTCGGCTCAGGTCATGATCCCAGAGTCCTGGGATCGAGCCCCGCATCGGGCTCCCTGCTCCGTGGGAAGCCTGCTTCTCGCTCTGCCTCTGCCCCTGCTTGTGTTCCCTCTCTCGCTGTGTCTCTTTCTGTCAAATAAATAAATAAAATCTTTAAAAAATATATATATAGATCTTATTGCTTCTGTTTCTCTGAAGGACCTGAGTACACATGTTAGGTGTATCTTATGTATCACATAAGAACCAAATGGATTTATGGTGCTTTTCTTGCATCTTTCTCTGTAATAGAGCTATTTCAGAGCTATTTGGAATAGCACTTAATGCAAAGATCATACTTAATTATAGTACTTCTTTAGTAGCTTATACATTTTTACCCAAAAGCATATTTTTATCCAAGTTAATTTTGCTAGTTTATAAACAAAGAAACTAATTTTGGGTAAGATAAATCTAGGAAGAAAGAAGTATAGTTGAGTTTAGATTATTGGATGGTTGTCTTATAAAGACTAAGTTAGTTGAATAACGTAACAAACAGATATGGGAGTGTACAGATATGCATACTACAGCAGAGGGGGAAAAGTAGAACATTCAAAGTTTAAAAAGTTAAGTTCGAGATCCACCTACATGGCATGCTAGCTTGGGAAAACCGCCTCATTTCTGGGGAGTCACAGTTGGTTCATCTACAGTTTAGAATGCCCTGCTTACCTCACCATGCTGCAGTGGGAGTCCAATAACATAGTTTCTATGAAAGTGCTTGGAAAATTATTACAATTTGGCAAAATCACATCCTATTCTTACTGGCTTTCCTAAATGAATCAAACTTGCTTTTTATCACCTTATAATCCTGGGTGTGAAATAATGCTATTAATCATAAATAATCATAAAAATGTTTCCCTTTAAGGCAGATTTCTTCCACCCAAAAATTAAAAGTCCTTCCCTTCTAAGGGAAACTAAGACACCAATCACATCCATAAATTGCTTTATGCCCTGCCTGTTCTCTGAGAAAATAAGGTGGAGGTACCTCTGAGGTATGACCCAGGAGACCTAACAAAGCTCACTTCTTCTGGGATGAAACATGGGGAAAGGGAAGCAAACTGAGGTCCTGACATCACTTGTATTGGGATTTGGTGAGGAGCTTACATTTCAGACCACAGTAACAAACTTACTGGCCCCTATTCTGAATATGGCTTAATTTCCACCAGCAACTACATCTTTAAAGTTGTTGAATGGAAAAATGAAGTAACTCTCCAGCTAACACTGGGAATAAACTCTGTTATTGAGGGGAAAAAAAAAGGGTAGAGGATTATTCTTAATTTTCCAGATTAGCTTTGTACGTGAGATAAATTTTCAACTCTCTTCTTGTTGCCCATGTTGAGAGGAACCTTATATTCTGATCAAAAATCAAGTAGTATTGCATGCTGCCTTTCTTATAGAAAGTAATATAAGGGGTTAACCAATTTCTCTTAATTACATCTCGAAGGGCCAGAATATAAGAATATATAAAAGGATAATTTTACATTCTACTCCTATATATTGTTCTTCCTTTATAAGATACTTTGGGCTATAGGATTATACTCACAGAAAAAGTAATCTTTGCAGCCAGTTAGAGAGAACTTTATTGACATGAGATGCAGAGTGAAGTATGTTCATTGGATGAGACCAACAACCATATGGTAAGAGGTTAGGTGGCAAACAGTAGAAGAACATTTAAGTCATTAAATACTTAGAAGACACACAAGCTAGGAGGATGTTTGTTGGGGGTGAGAAATTGAGCAGTTTCTTATGCAAAACAAATAACATAATTCTTACATAATCAAATTTTTTTATTGAAGACACACTCAGCAGGAGACCCCAAGTGGACTCAAGCTGGTCTTTATCTTTTGGAGAGGAGATCCTGCCTAGCTGGTGGGGAGAGAATGCTGAGTTTTGCTAGTCACTGCTTCTTTTTGCTTTATGGCATCTACAAAGTAGATTAAAGTCATCCATTTGCATTGCTGTCTCTCATACTAGTCTATGAGGTGTTTGAGGGCTGTGTCTTCACTACACTGCACAGGGCCTGGAGGAAAGGCAGAGAGAGAGAAATGGAGTAGAGGAGAGAGGAGAACAGACATGACTCCGACCCAGAGGCAGATTGAGGGCTGCTATTTATATTCACCTGCTATATGAAATTAGCTAATCTACCTTCAAAATCACCACATAAGATGAACATTATGGACTCAGTCTTTAGAGGCGAGGAGACTTAAGGTAAGAGATATTGAATAACATTCCACATGAAAATGGGTATAACTAAATTAGAAATCCTATCTGGTTTCAAAGACTTGATTCTTCCCCTAGGATCTCCCACAGAATTGTGGCACCCAGTAGGAATTCTTCTTTGTGAGATTACTAGAACTCTGGGGACAAGCTAGACAGAGGAAGGTCAGGAGAAGGAGCCACAGGAAGGATTACACAGAGGCGTGTGTCACTTTACATGAACAAGAGTAGGTGTCAGTTATCTGAGACTTGAAAATGAGTCCAATGGCAAATCACTAAGAGATGACTCTGGAAAAAGTCTGGTCACATTGTACCCTTAAGTTTGAAATCAAGAGGGTCATACGATCAAGGATAGAACAATCACTTAGCTGAAAGGTCAATGAACTTGGGTCAAAGGACATAAGTGACTAACATAAACAGAGGACAGTGTCAGCATCAAAACCCAAAATCTATTCATGTGGCTGGGAATGGGTTATAGGGAGGAAAGATAACTCAATTCCTAGGAGATAATTATTAATTGTTCTTAGCAAAATCATTATTTTGAAATTAGGATGCTAAAAATAGATAGGCAATATTCTTGAAGGGAAACCTTAAATATCTGATTTCTCTCCTAAACAAACCACTTTCCATAATATCTCTGTGAAAGCATTCACACAAAGGAAAATGATCATCGAAAATGCATTCTAATTCTGATAATTTTCACTCATAAGGACAGTCCATGTAGAAGCTTCTTTTGGCTTAGATTGCTAGTATGGCTGGGGCCTACTCCATTTTCTCCCTACCAAGATCACACAATATGTTTCAGATTGCTCCCACGAAGAAAAAAGGCTGGTCAGTGGGGTGAAGACAGTGGAAGCATAAGAATGTGGCTATAGTCCATGGTGCTTCCATCCTTCCCCTTTTCAGGTCAGGGATACTACTCTAGATCCTGCTTAGCTCCACAGCCACTTGCGAGGTTTCAAAACAAAACAAAATGAATCAAAACCAAAACCAAAACCAAAACCAAACTAAAACAACAACGTATCAGCAAAACATCTTGCTGGGCCTTCCCCCCCCCCCCCATAATAGCAACCATTATCCTATGTCTCCTGCTGAAGTAAGTAATGGAAAATTGGTGGGTTACAGTC